AATTCCCCTTTTGTAGGGGAATTTACCTAAATATTCACATAACTCTCTGATGGTTCAAGCTATAAAGACTAATTTGACAGATCCAGATATACATGTGCTCTTCTTTGATGTGGAAGCACTGATAATTCAGCTGCTGACCGAAGAGGCTGCAAGACCCAACAGTGCCCTCATCTCTCCTGAGAATTTACAGAAGGCCTCTGGTGGGTCTGACAAGGGAGGCTCCTTCCTGACTGGTAAGCGAGCAGCTGTCCTGTTCCAGCAGGTCAAGGAAACCATCAAAGAAAACATAAAGGAGCATCTTCTCGATGATGAAGATGAGGATGAAGAATCAATGAGGCAGAGAAGAGAAGACACTGACCCAGAATATCGTGCTAGCAAATCCAAACCATTAACTCTACTAGAATACAACCTAACCATGGATACAGCAAAACTTTTCATGTCTTGTCTTCATGCCTGGGGCTTGAATTCTGTTCTAGATGAGCTTTGCCTTGATCGTCTTGGCATGCTTAAGCCACACTGCTCAGTGTCCTTTGGCCTTCTGTCTAGAGGAGGCCACATGTCTCTGATGCTTCCCGGCTACAATCAGCCTGTAGGCAAACCATCCTATGATGGCATGGAGTTGGGCAAGAAGGTGTCTGTTACAGAAGGATTGGGAAAGGGGACATACGGCGTGTCACGTGCTGTCACCACTCAGCATCTCCTGTCTGTCATATCGCTGGCAAACACACTGATGAGCATGACCAATGCAACCTTTATTGGAGACCACATGAAGAAAGGCCCAACCAGGTAGAACCAGTGCCCCTATTAACACGTGATGACTTCTGTTTAGAGTCTCTATTCAAATATGGTGTTTAATTCTGTTTAATTTTACTGTGGAGTTTGCTCTATCAAGTGGCTATAAGAGCTTCAAATACCCAGGCAACCAATGTGTTTCTTCTTTCATGGCAATAGTGTTTTTTTTATGCCAAGGTAATGTTGTTGTATTTAATCAGGTTGCAGAAGTTAAAAAAAAAGAAGTTAATATAATGGGGGCTGATGTTAATATGGTATGTTAATGTCAGTGTTAACGTAGTGCAGGGCTGAAAGCCAGTTTCTGCTCTTCTTTTTAATATTTATAGCATTTAAATAGATTAAAAAGTAGGTCGGATTCTAGGTAAATCAAAACATACGAATGCACATAACCAGGTAAGCTAGGAATTGTAAATGAGATACTTCCTTGATGTCAGCACGACTGTTCTTTGCCCATTGCCTTTCAAAGTTTGTTTAGATGCGGGATCTTAGCAAATAATCTTTCTTCATTTCTCTCCCCTTTTTGCCTTTTCCTTCTTTAATGCTCCCTCCTCTCCTACTTCAGGCCACCCCGGCCAGGCACTCCTGAAATGTCAAAAGTGAAGGCCCCTCCGTCGATGGCAAGTCATGCAGCCCAAGGACAAATTAAGCAAGGTAGAAATCACTTTCTTCGGAACAATTTCATACGTCTTCTCAGCTCCATGTGCTGAAGTCATCGTGTTGTTATCATGTGATAAAAATGTTACTAGCTTCTACGTGGTTTACAAATGTACTGTTATATTCTAGATGAAAGTTGTAGTGATTAAGAAGTTTTTAAGAATCAATTTAAAGTTCTCATATTGACATGGAGTCGTTCCCTGACATGGAATTTTTGCGTATTTTCAGTGCTCCCTAAAATTCAGATATTGAGGTGTCTGTAAGGCATTCACAGTTATTACAGAGTAGAAGAAAAATGTATACCATGCATATAAGCTGAAGTATAAAGGTGAAACATATGTAAACACATAAATATTTCCTCTTTCTTTTTAAAAGGAGGGAGAATTTTTTTTTTTTAAACACTGCTTCTACTGCTGCTGCTGTTTCCATTATCTGTATTTATGAAAGATGGCAGTGGATGATACTGGCTCCTTTAGGAGTCTGCATTCTCTTTTATTTCATGAGTACAGTGGCTAAATATAAAACATAGAACAACCTGTGATACAAAAGAAGGATGTACATAAGGTTAGACTTCAATTCCTCAAGTGGTGGGAGCAGCACAGAAGCAGTCCCACAGAGAATGGAGGGAGGATGGAGGTGCCTCCACCTCTGCTGAATTAAAAAGCTGCTGTTCACTGGGGCAAATGAGTTATTCGTCTTAATGGAAAAAACAAGTGAATCTGTGACAACGTGGCGTAGCCTTTTTACATTGAGTGCAGAGCTAAGGAGCAGTGAGATGTTTGCTGCAGCTGCTGGGGACACAGACAGTGTCTGCTCATGTAATTTCTTCCAAAATTATAGTTAAAAAAAAAAAGAAAAGCTATTAAAACTTTGCCTCTTTGAGGTATGGAGCAATTTGCAATTTATAAAATGGTTGCATTTTGCAGAAAACAAATGTTTACTGTTGTATTTTTTATGGATATTTAGCTTTTGTATTTTGGATATCCTTACATATGTCTTTAAACTATGAAACTGCTCTTGTATTAGGAAGCTGGTAAGCACAACAGGTAACTGACACATCAAATGTGATTTTTCATCATTTGCATCCAAAAGTGAGGTTGTTTATATCCAAAGAAGAAACTTGCTTGTCAGAGGTGCTTGTGCTTGTACTCTTGTGCTAAATACAAATTTGTTTTCATCTGTATTTTGAAAGAGGAAGCCAGTTTCAGGAATGATATGCATCAGGCTTTGTTCTCGTGTAGGGATGCTGCAGAAGTAGAGAAGTAGCAGTCAGTAACAAAAAAGTGGAAATTAAAAGAAACCACAACAGTGCAGTAGGGCTCTTGTCTCTAGATCTGTTTTTTTAGCTGTTTACTTTTCTTTGGAAAATTTGTACTAGAGAGGCCAGTGTTTCCCAGAGATGGTATCTTTTGGGCAAGTTCAATGCCAGAAGAAGCATATCTGTCAGAGATAGCATATACTTTTGTTTTTAACTGTGCAGTTATATTGCAGTTATTCTTTCCTGAATGAAAAGAATGTCAATTTTCTTTTGAAACAGCTTTGCTCGTTATGATGGTAGACATGCACAGTGCAGGGTACTCACTGGAAGTATTTTTAACTTCATCAGAAATAACTGATAAAAATAGAAATTATATGCATTAAATGCACAGTTCCTTTACTGTGATGTTTTGGGATGTTTTGCCAGTGTTTGGCAGTGTGACTAGAATGCTCCTGGAAGAAGAGTTTGAATGCTACCCTTAGGTCATACATTTATATCCCATTGTTGCTACTTACAGCATCTTGCTGCTCATAAATTACCAGTGCTTCTTAAAAATCAATTAGTATAGATACGATTAATGCATAGTATGACATGCTGAATGTCCACCCATTTGACCTATATTTGTCCTGAGCTCAGCACATCTCTGTGCTACTCTGCTACTGGGCCAGCTGCTTCCATCATAGTGACTGTTATGATTACTGACACTTGCAGGCAGAGAACAACAGCAACAGGGAGAAATTTCAAAGTCTTCAATTTTGTTTTAAGAAACAAACAAACAAACAAACACAAAAACACATAAATTTGAGTTTATTTTCCATAAGTTGGACAGCTTCTTTTATACATCTGCTGAAAGCAGTCTTTGTTGCGAAGTGACTTCTGCTGCTCATGCTGTCACTGTACACGTGCCATCGCGCTGCATTCATGTAGAGGGCATGGCAAAGTGTCCCTGATGCAGATGTCCTCCAGTGACAATAGAACTTCACTGCATGAAAAGCAAACAGAAGACAATGCTTAATCTGTTCAGGAGCTTGAACCCATTGTTGTTCTGCAACGGAATAAAAGAGGGGGATGACATATGGTAATTTCTCAGCAGGAAGGAGGTGTCAGATAGGGACCTCTAAATCTCCACATTGACCTCTGGTTGTAGCTGTGTATGCCATAAGGTCTGCATGTCTTTTCATGTGATAAAGTTCAACAATGAGCATTACGGGAGTATAATGTTTAGAACTGATTTTAAATTGCATTTGCACAAGAAATTACACAGTTTACAAAGCAAATACATCACAGCTGCTGCTTGGAGCACGTGCCTTCCTGTCAGCTTGCCTGTAGTGTTACCCTGGATGCCTTACATCCATCTGCTTGATGTTCTCAGCCTTTTCCTCTGGTTGAGGTTCAAGCTTGTTCAAATAGAGAAAAATTTAAAATGGAACTATATTGAAACTAATCATCAGCAGTATGTTCTGCAGCATTTTAGATGAATAGGTGAGACAGCCCAGGTTTGAAAGGGATTGTTTCTGGGTTGTTACTGTTTGGTTGTAATGAGCAGTACAAATTTGAAATCTGTCTTCGGAAAAAAACCCCAAACAGAAGCAAAACTCCTGCTTTGAAATGCAGTCAACAGTGCTGCTAAAGTGAGCTCAGCTTTCAAAGTCTGCAGTTGTGATCTTTTCATTTGCAAATACCTTCTTCTCAAAACATGCAGAGTTATGTTAGTGACTCTGTTTTTCTGTAGTTGCATGCCTTCTCCTCACTGACACACTCCGCTTCTTACAAAGCCTAGAAGTTTTTTTTTCTTTTTAAGTTTAATATTATCACGGTTTTGTTTTTCATTCTTCAGTGATACTAATCTGTTTTTCAGAAGCTGCTATCCTCACTTTCCTATTTTTTTCTCTTTATTTCTTCTTCTTTCCTCTGCAAGTTGCTCCTGCTGTTTCTTCTAGCACTGAAGCTGGTCACTCTGGCTCTGACACTGCTCCTCCTTTACATACCTGTTTCTTAGTAAATGAAGGTATCTTTCCTCATTTTTTCTATCTATTGTCTTTTACTTTCAACTAATGTTCCTTATCATTGTTATGATATGACTTTAATTTGTTCTTTGGAGGTATTTTTCTTTTCAAGAAATAGAGGTGATGAGTTTATTTTTGCATATTTGCTGCTAGAGGGTGAACAGATGGGATTTGTCTGTCCGGGACTTTCTGTCGAAGTTCAGTTCTCAGTGACCACGTCAAAGCTTGGATTTCAGACTGTAACTTGTTTTGCTGTTGCTTTTTGACAAAATAATGAACCTTTTTAAAGTAGGAAGAATGTGAGTGACCACACTGCAGCTAACCATGCACAGTTCATGTCCCACTGCTGTACTTCCACGTGGGTATGGCTGCTGCTTCTCAGTGCAATGACTCAGCTCCATCTGGAGCTTGGGGATCTTCTGGGAGTGCCTGTAGCACAAACCAGGAGGCTAAACCTTTTGTGATGCTTTATATTCAGAACTGAACAAAAATGAGCTTCACATCGTTTAAATCTGATTTGTAGTGCAGTGAAGACAGAAACTGTTCAATTAGACTACTTGGGGTTTGTGTTTATTTTTTTTCTAATAGAGGTTCATCTCCATAGTGAAGAATGACTTTCTGCCCTGAAGATTGGCACACACACAAATAACCTAACACAGACCAAACTAACCCACAACTCCTGAATTGCTGCAGGGAATTTGCTTTAAACCTTTGCTTTGATGCCTTATTGCTAAGCCATAAATCTGTGTTTTTTCATAGGAATTTCAAGAATTAGATCTTATTATTTTCCTTGTAGCATCGTGAAAAACTTTGCTAGTTCAAATACTGAGATTTTTGTGTTCACCATTGCTGACAAATTAAAAATGGAGATCTATATGCTCATTGCAGGTATTTCTCATGCTTCTCAAGTTGAAGTAGATCATAATACTAAGAGCATGATTTTGGCGTACGTTACAGGACTTCTTAGGTTCTGTTGTTTGGGGTTCATAGATTCCTCTTTACTGCTCTTAACTAAGTAATATTTCAGGCTTCCAGTGTGAAGCAGGATTTAAATGGGAAGAGTGAGGGTGGTGGACAAATGTGTGCTTTGATGTGCTGGCATACCTCCTTAAAACATCTATAATCTTCCTACTGATAATTTACATGATTAGCTTTCTTTAAATGAATGGCATCAAACTTGCATTTAGGACACTGTGTGAAAATAATGGAAACTACTGTTTCAAAAAATCGTTGAAGATGGTCTTGAACTCAGGACTGTGGCTTGTGCTTAGGAGCTTTTCAGTATTTAGTGTGTTGAACATGCTCTGAGGGTTGCAAGCTTGAAATTCAAGCCCGTGATTCAGTGCAGTTATACTTCCATTTTGAGGGAGGATGAAAAGAAACAGTGTTTTTGATGTGTTCTTCTGTGTTTGAACAGGGTGGAGCCAGCTTGCTGCCATGCACTGTGTGATGCTCCCTGACCTGCTGGGTCTGGACAAGTTCAGGCCTCCTCTTCTGGAGATGCTGGCTCGCAGGTGGCAGGACCGCTGCCTGGAGGTGAGTTCATAGGATCACAGAATTACAGACCAGCTGGGTTGAAAGAGTCCCCAGAATCCCCCAGACCCACTCCACCATGGTTGCCCTCTCCAGCTCAGGCTCCACAGGGCCCCATCCGTGTCCTCGAGCCCTCCAGGGATGAGGCACTCACACTTTTCTGAGCAGCCTGTGTATCAGTTCAGCAGTAATATTCTGTTGATTGTTTTTGTTTTTCCCCCCTCATCCCCAATGCCCAATTCTAAAAACCCCAAATAACACGCTTTCAAATATCAGTCTCATGTTTTTAAGTCTCTGTTTATTTAAGTGACACATCGTTTTAAATGAGAAGCTTCCGTGATGTGCCACTGGATGGCAGCCTTGCTCCACTGCAACAGGAGCAAATCACTGAGGGAGTCCTCAGGGAAGCTCAGTTCCCAGCAGCAGAACCTTAGGGCAAAGGGAGAGAGGATGTATGGAAGTGTGGGAGGAGAGGCAGAAGTGATTAATGCGTTGCAATATTTGAATGTTTTGTTATTTTGGTTTTTATTTATGCAGAGTGCAGCTTTACGTACCTGTCCGATGTTGATGGCTGTTATTAAGCTCATTTTTCCTTAATATAAAAAGTACTTTCTGACAAAAGTTCTTGTAGCTGCTGATTCTAGATGCAGCAGGTCAGTTTTCCCATTAACCTCTTTCAAAATGTTGAGAAAAAATGATTGTATCTCTCTATATTTGTTTGTTCATTTGTTTTTTCTTAGCTTTTCTGTGACATATACTGTATATACATCTTCCTAACGAAATTCCAGGATTAAAATTTCTCATATTCCATTATGAATCTCTTTAGGATCAAAAACTAACCTATGTGTTTTTTTTTTTTCTCAAGAGACTGCTGAGTTGCTTAATTTGTTGGAGCTTGTGTACAGCAGTCAGTAAGTGGTTTGTCACCAACAGTGTGATAAATGACTGCTAGGCCTTAACACTGCACCTATGCTACTGTGGCAAAAATTTCGTTGACTGTGCAGCTTTCAGAGTAGGAAAGGAGGAACAGAGCTGGATTATAGGCTGTAGGACTTGAGCAGTCTTGTAACTTAATGGGGAATAGGCTTTTTGCTAGCTGGGTGCCTGTTCTTCTGCTAGATAGGATATACCATGAGATGGTTTTCTGAGAGGATAATTGCTTTGAAACTAATTAGGATTTGTAAGCAGTAGGAGTCCGTTTTCGGGATACCCTGAGGTGTCAAGCTAGCGTTCTGCTGATCCCTGCTTGCCCACTGTTTTCTGTCTTACCTTGATCGAGTTGCATAAGTTCTTTGTGTGTATACATTGCCCGTTCTTCCACACTGCACACAAATGAGATTATTTCATTTGAAAGCTGTTCCTTGGGGATTTTTGTTCTGCTATGGTATTCCAACATCCAGCTTCGATATTAGAAAAATTATTTATTCGCTGCATATCTTGGAATTCTGGACAACTTTTGTTAGAAAGAAGGCTGATCACAAGTTGTTTCTAGAAAATTCAAGTTTTGGTGATATTTTAGTGCATCAGTGTGACAGTGTGATTTTTAGTGCATTACTGTGACTGGCAATAACCATTTTACTTGACGTAATGTGAGCCACCTTATTTCTTCCAGTGGTAAACCTCACTTTCTGTTCACTTCTGGGGATGTGAAGTAGCCTCTTTGCTGGGGAAGGTTTTCTCACAGTGCCTATGGCTCTGTTATGTCCTGTGTTGGGAGTCACCATAGTTAGGGGTTGTCCTGTTTGTGGCCATGTTGTTTCTGTACTTAAGTTGGAAAGGAGCAGGAAAAAATGTGGGTTTTCTAAAAACTACATTCAGTTTTTTATACAAGTTTTTTTTTTTTTTTTTCTTTTTTTCTTTCTTTTAAGTGATTCTTTTTGTCGTGGTAGCTAAATTACACTGATAGCATATTGATAAATATTTCATGATTGAGTTTCTGTGATGTTTTGGTTGATGTATAGGTACGAGAAGCTGCCCAGGCCCTGCTTCTAGCAGAACTGAGGAGGATTGAACAGGCAGGCCGGAAGGAGACCATTGACGCTTGGGCTCCATATTTGCCACAGTACATTGACAGTGTCATATCACGTAAGTAATTGTGTGACTAATGGTAAAATAACTCCACTGATTGATAAAGGGGGAAAAAGGAATGCCATAAACCAATTTGTTAGCAGTTCTGCCAACTTAGGGAAAGAGGCGTTTGAGTTACGCATGAAAATTTCTGGAAATTTTCAAATTTGATAGTCATGAAATTGCTTGGGATCCCTAATGTTGATTAGATAAATAGAGCATTCAGTGCATTTCACTAAGAATGCAGTGTCTTTTGCAAAGGCTTGCCCTAGTATTGAGGGGTAGGGCTGTAGTTTGGAGATTTCAGAGAAGAAACCTACTTTGGAAAAGGCTGATATAATTACCAAAGAGTCTAAGATTATAGAAATGGTTATGAAGGGATTCTTTGGCATCCCCAAAGCATAGAAGGATTCTGAAAGGAACTAATGCAGCTGCGTGTAGGAGTTGACCTTCACTGTATGTTGGACATTTGGTACAACTCTTGCCTCACTGAGTGTTCAGAACCAATGGTTACTCGGGCTGCAGGGTGAAGATGGCTCTGCAGTTATCAAGGATTCATTAGGCAGTAATTTATGGTGGTGAACATAAGATTACAGTATTTCGCTTTGAAATGCGGAACATTTTTCTGCCTTATCACATTCATAAAAGTCTAAAACTGGAAGTTAATGGACTTTAGGGCATTAGAAGGTTAAGCTCATTTTGAAGAGCGGGTGTGAAAGACGCATCTTGCAATGTTCTGCCAAGATTTCTTAAACTGTACTAGAAGTATATAAAGAATGAGAGCTGTTCCTTTCTAATCTCTCCTGCAATTTATAAAACGCGTGTAGCAGTAAGTCATTTCCTCCAGCTTTCTGCAGTCCCTTTTTGGTAATTTCACACCATTGTTCACACCATCCTCCTGACTTGGCTTTGATTATTGAAATGCCAGATTAGATGTGCCGTTTCCAGCTCCATTGAATCACGTACTCTTCCCTTTTCTATTTTTCTCTATATGTTTCTTTCCCCTTTCCTGATGTCATGTGTGTTAACACAACCACCTTATTATTTGCTAGGTCTCCTTTTATTGCATATTTTCTAAAAGTTGATTTAAAATACTGCTGCAAATGCGATTCTCTAACTATTTTGGTTGTTTAATATGTTTGTAAGAGAAAGCACTGGTTTTTGTAACTAGTTTTTTGGCATCTTCATGACCTCATTTCTTTTTTTGTTGGGTAAAGGCATTTTCTGAAGAAATCAAATGAATTACTGAAGTATAAATTAAAAAACAAACAAAAACCCTTAAAACTGAGACAAGTTGTGTTTTGATTTCATGATGAATCTGACTGAATTAATTTTAAATAACAGCTGATCCCTTTTGACAAAATGCTGCCAGTTGAAATGTTCCGCTTGTAGGTGAAATGATAAAGGGAACTTCTTTCAAGTACATTTCCTGCAGCCTATGAAAGTCATGTGTAGTTCTGAATGATTGACCATACTTGGAACACTTGGCTCATGGGCAGAGAAGGATTTTAACAAGATCTGATGTTATCAAGGGCACGGGTCTCCTGTGTTCTTTGAACCATGAAACATATATATTTACCAAAACATCAGGCTTCTGACCATGATTGTGTACAAACATCTTGCAATAATGCACTGGTACGTTATATAATATTTCTTCTTCACATAAATTAAACCACCACGGACCACTGTTCAATCTGTTACATTTTTCTCCAAAAATACATCTCCAGCTATTTTCATACTGTTCATTCTTATTAAAGCAGAGATTGTGCAAACTCTAAGAATGTATTATTGCAAGGTCAGTCAGCATCATGCAGTACACCATTCACTTAACTGTCCATAGTCTTTCCTTTCCAGAATGATGTACAAACACATCTGCCATTTGTAAGAAAGCAGTAAAAATACAAATGTATTTTTGTGAATGAGAATGTTGCCTTAAAAGTAAAGTAGTACACGTTCATTTTCCTTAACTGTGATTCTTCCACTGAAGGATGTAGCTTCTATTCAGGGAAGGATCTCTATCAAGCACAATTGATTTTAGAGAAATGTGTAATAATCTTATTAAATCTAAATTGAATGCATAAATTTCACGGGATGCGGTGTGTTCAGGTGGTGCTGAGGCAGAGCTGCTGTTTATTGCAGCCTTTAGGCATGCAGCCTTTGCTTTACAAGGGTGTTGCTGCTCAGCCAGATGTGCAGCCAGGCCATCAGCAAGGAGTGGGAGTGTGCTGTATATACTGCCAAAGAGCCTCCGTTCAAACTGGTGGAGATTGGTGCTGTTCTGAATGTTTGGATTTATTTTTTAATTGCTCTTCTGGCGAAACTGCTTGTGCTCAGTTTGTGGAGTATAGCTTTAGCTGCCCTTCAGTCTCACAGTAGCTGCTATAGCAGCTGGTGATGAGCACTGATTTCTCTGCAGTGAAACAGAATGACTGTGTTAGGAGCAAGGTTATGGGCTGTTGAAGTGTATGTAAGGCACTTTGTAGGGCCTCTGCTTCCAAATCAGGAATTACCACTTAATCAAAGTCACACTAACCCCAGCATTCTCTATTTGGGGTTCTTCTCATTACATAAACTCTGCTGTGTGGAAGACTGAGAAGAGCATGTTGTGTTCCACATGTGCATAGCTGGAAGCAGAATGTTTAGTTCTGCTCTTGTGCCTGTGCTCAGGCTGTAGGCATGGTATGTGTGTGTACAGCAACTGCCAAAGATGGGCTGGTAGGAAAAAGAAAAGCTAATTTTCTGTACGTGTTCAATACACACAGCATGAATACATACAGCAATACTTTGGCATTTTTTTAGTTATTAGCAGATCAAAACATAGCATTTGTTTTAACACTAGATTAGAATGCACTTAGCTATCAGAGCAAACAAGATTTACAACAGGAAAAAGTAGGGAGAAATCAGATGAGGAGTGTGGGTGAATGAATGACTTGAATGCAAACGCTCAGTATTTTGAAAGCAGTGATACAGAAAACGTACAGAACTCATAATGACTAGCACATTGGAATTACGCCTGAGTTTGTGGTTCTGAATGGCAGGGCTTGAAGGCTGTTGTGCAGCGGTACCAGCCGTGTGAGCATCCACAGAGGTGCTGGCACCCTGAGGAAGAGCAGTGATTGTGATATCAGACTGGAGTAATGAAATTAATGAGGAGCTGCAGAGCTTGCTTTTGTAGGCAAAGTGTACAGATGTTCCCTTAGTTACAGTACAACACGTGATATAAGTTGATTCCTTGTTTTGAAAGATCTGGGGAGGGATCAAGGGGATAAAAATTACTTGGAACAGCCCAAATGGACGTGATGAGTTTCTGAAAAACATGGCTTAGTGCTGGAAAGGCAAGCAGAAGGAATATGGTATAGTTCAAGAAATACTGCTCTGCCTCCTTCATCCTCCATGTCTTCCCATGTCCTGACTTACTAGGGAGGCATAGAATACTATCAGCACATTTCCCTCCAGCCCATCTTAATACATTATGAGGGTTCTTGTATGTGTGATGTGGAGAAAGTGCTTTTCTTTGACATCCCCCGTTGCTCTATAAGTGGAACAAACGTAACCGGTAATAGAAGCTTGGTGCTGGTATCTTTAGCCATATGCATTCAATTGGCTCTTGAATGTCTCAGGAGTGCAGTGTTAGCAAAAAAGGTGAGATCTCTCCATTTGTATACCTGCACAGATCCAAGAGGAACTGGGGCAGGACTGTGCTCGCTGAGATCTACTGGATGTGCATGTCTCTCAACTCCTTGATGTGTGGAAAGCAGCAATGCAAATTTGCACTGGATTATATTCTAATAATCTTTTATCTGATGCGGGAGAGAGTACTGTGAACCATGGAAATACAAATTCTTTGAACTTGTGTCTGAATCATGTTGCCATTTAATGGAAAAACTGTACGCTTATGCAGGTTTTATTCCCATACCTCGTTTTGAATTTTGAGGAACTCAGTAGTGTTGGCTGATGCCCCAGAGCACACTGAATAGTGCAACTTAGGAGCAGAAATGTAATCGGTGCTTGGAGGTGTGCTCATTTCCTGATCACTTTGTGTAGTGATTGTGCAGGATTGCAATTGCAGGTAGCTCTTACCAGAGAGATCAGCAATTTGTATCATGTGTATTATCCCTTCCTTGTTTCTGAGCAGCCAGCAGAGAGAATTATGGCTTTAAAGGATGGGCAGCAGGGTCAGGTGGATTCCTTTTTAAAAATTCCTTCTTAATTGCTATTTCATATCAATTTCTCATTTCCAGCCAAACTTTTTGATAAATAAAAACAAAGGGGAAACACTGCATTATTTATTCTCAATCCAGAGCATGTTTGTTGAGCTAGTCGTGTAACCCTTTACTTTTACATATAATTACATCATAGATACGTTAACGTACATGTTATATTTGTAGTCTAAATTCAGCTGTTAAGCTGTGCGTTATGAACATGAAATGGGTGAAATGAATGTGGCGTCATGATTTGAAAGTGTTGAGTTGGTTTAGTCATTGATATTTTCAGCCTTGCACATGAAGGGAAGCTTTGGAAGCTTCATGTTCTGTCTGCTAGGGTTGTCACGTAGCCTTTACCTGCTCCTTGTTTTCACATGTGATTGTTTCTGCAGTCTGTAGTGCATTCTCCATGAGGAACAGTGTTCAGTTCAAAAAGGGAAAAATGTCACCTCTGTTACCTGCTTATTTTGAAGAGCAAAGACTTCCTCAATGCAAGATGGATTCTGCAAATGATCTTTTTTTTTCTTTTCTAACAGATTTTGTTGCTGAATGTTGTATTCCTATTAATTTATTTTTCTGTTGTTCAGTGTAGTGTCTTCTAAAAATGCTGAGGCGGGTGTTTCATGAGCCCCGTGCAGTGGAACCCCCAAATGTTCCAGCATGAAGTCTGCCCATCCAGCAGTGCAGAGCCTGATGTGTTTTAAAATACGTGGTGTTACTGCAGATACAAAAATGGTTCCTATGTCTTTAATGGAAAGCAAAAGGTTATCTGGCCGTGCCCTTTGTGTGCATGCTGCAGGCAGGCAGGCAGTGTGCACTGGGAGCTGCCAGATCGATCGGGTGCTGCGTACTGAATTAATTCCAGGCAGGAATCTGCTGCCAGTGAATGCTGCCTAAAAATTAGGTCTGGATGCTGCTGGTGCTTCCCATATTGTTAAACCTAACGTCTTCATCAAATTATTACTTCTTGTAAAGTGGAAATCTTAAACAATGTGGCAACATGAAATTCAAGAGAGAACAGTTTAAGAATGTGTTTCTAAATTTCTTTGCTTTGATCATAACGCATTCTGATAACAAAAATAAGCATGATAAGTCTACAACAAATATGGTGTTGTCACTCTTACTAATATATTTCTGGTAAATGTATATCTCTGTAAGGAAGTTTTACTTAAGATTAACTGAGTAAAACATAATTGAGCTTCAGTTGATTTAAATGGGAGTTTTCACTTAGTAAGGACACTGCGATGAGACCTCAAAGACTGCTGTATATCCACATGGTTGGTCACTCTGCTCCTGCAAATTCTTACTTTGCCGAGCACAAAGGAGTAAATGAAACAGATTTGCACGGCGCTATTTTGGTGTAGTAATAGAATAATCAGTTTATGATGCTACAGTAAATGATGAACTGTAATCATGGAGTCATGGAATCATTTGAGTTGGAAGGAACTTTTAGAAGTCATCAGGTCGCACTCCCTGCAGTGCACAGGAACGTCCACAGCCCCAGCAGTGCTCAGAGCCCATCCAGCCCAACCTCGGCTGTCTGCAGGGATGGGGCACCATCACCTCTCTGTGCAGCCTGTGCCAGGGTCTCACTGCCTATGTTATTGATAACTTCTTCTTTGTATCCAATTTAAATCTCCCTGCCTTTAGTTTGAAACTATTCCCACTTGTCTTGTCACGGCAGACCCTGCTAAAGAATCTGTCTCCTTATTTCTTAAAGCCCCCCTTTTGATTTTTGAATGGCTGCTCTCAGGTCTCCCTGGAGCCTTCTCTTCTCCCTGCTCTCAGCCTGTCCTCGCAGGGGAGGTGTTCCATCCCTGGCACCACTTCTGCAGCCCTCCTCTGGATGCGCTCTGTCAGGCCCACGTCTCTCCTGCGCTGAGCACTCCCCATCTGGACACGGCACTCCAGGTGAGGTCTCACAGCTCAGAGCAGAGGGGCGCATCCCCCCCTCGCCCTGCCGGCCACGCTGCTGCGGATGCAGCCCGGGACACGGTTGGCTTTCTGGGCTGTGAGGTGACACTGCTGGCTCGTACCCAGCTGCCGTCCAGCAGCGCCTCGCGTCCTTTTCGGCAGGGCTGTGCTCCATCCTTACATCCCCCAGCTTGTACTGAGGGTGCAGGTTGCCACAGCCCGGGTGCACTCCTTGCATTTGGCTTTGTAGAACCTCTCACAGGCACTGCTCAGTCTGTCCAGGTCTCTCCGGATGGCATCCTGTCACCCTTGGGCCTGCCAAAAGCACCAAAGCTTGGTGTCATCCACAAACTGCTGAGGATTTGCTCCATCCCACTGTTAATTTTCCAGTGTTTTCTAATGTGTCAGCAGGCTTATGTTTCATACATGCACTTTCTTTCTGACCTTTTCATTTCCAAATCATGTTTCTGAGACATTTTGGTGAATTATGTAGAAGGTAATTGTGTATAGGAAAACATATCCTTTCTTGCTGGATTTTCATTTAGAGGAAGTGATAATGTACAACTACTGCCTGACTTTTCTGTGTGATTGATATCTTCCTCCCCCCACTTTTTTTATTTTTTGAGAATCATTCAGATTGAATAATTTGTGCTTAGATTTTAATTTTAATTATGTAAAATTGTAATTGTAAATTGTAATATTTCATATCCTGTTCTTAGAACCAACTCGTGCAAAAACATTTCTATCTTTTCATTCTATTGTCACTGGTCTTGCTAAGCTCTTTAGGTGTAGCACATCTAACATGAAAGCTCAGCTGCTTCTCTTCAACCTGAGGATAAAATGCAGTGAAAGAAGTGATGTGGGAACTAAGGGACAAGGTTTAGTGGGCACGGTGGGGATGGGCTGACAGTTGGGCTTTTCATGATCTTTGAGGTCTCTTCCAACTTTTTGATTATTCAATGATTCTAAACAAATCCAAGGTGTTGTGCTTTGGCCCATCCAAAAAGCATTTTGACAGTGCAGTGCTGGAACTACCAGGTCCTTATGGGAGCTGAAAAAAAACACGCTGGGAGACAGCCATGATCAAACCCCTGAGAGTGCTCCTCTCCATGTAGTTTATTAAGAACTATTGTATTTTCACTTATAAACCATATTTTTACATCTGGGGAAGATGAGTTGTTTACCACATCGAAACTGCTCCAAACTGAAGAAATGTGTGTGTTTGTTATTTTATTTTTCATAAGGATGCTGAACAAATGGCAGAGGAGCAGCAAGGGAATAGGCAGGACTTGGTCACCCTGTGCTAGTTGACAGTCTGGGGTAGCAAAGGGAAAGGCATTCCAGATTTATTTCTTTCTGAAGCTTGGCTGGTGCTGACAAAGGGCTGTAGTCCTTTTTTAATGGGATCTTAATGCCTCTATAGATGGCAAGCCTAATGCCACAATCAGGAAAGCAGCAATCTCTTCATATAATAAGATTTTTGATAGCTGACATAAAGGATACATCAGGAGGAAAGAAATCTTATCTGGGCTCTCTTCACTCTGCTCCTTCAGCTTTCCTAAAGCTCTTTGGGAACACTATTTGTGAGGCTGTGCTTTTTCACTCTTAGCAAAACGCTTCTTTTGATAGTGCCTTGATGGAATTGCAGTAAGGTCTGGGCAGGGGCTCATAAAGGTGAAAGCTGGGCACAGTACACCGATGAATGATAGCCTCCTGTGGTGTTACACGGCATGACTTAGTGTCCATACCACAATTTGCAAGAGCAATTAACTCGTACATCACAACCAAGTTATGCAGAATGGCTCAGATGAGGGAATGTACTCTGAAAGTGACAGGGAAAGAGCTGTTTTTTGGTGGTAGAAATGCAGGATTAATAGATGTGAGAGAAGTTCTGCTGAAGTCAGTTTTATGGCTAAAGAGGATGTTGTGTCTTTCTTTTGATTGTTTTAATCATATCAGAAGGTAAAAAGGAAATATATGAGATATCTACACTGCGGAGAACATTTATAAAGGAAAGGTTTGTATTATAGGAAGTCAGAAAATAGTTTATCTTTGCTTTATCTGCATTTCGTAGTGCTACATTGCAACAGAAGATAATTTTATTTTTCCCTAGTGTAGGGTTGTTGTCTAAGAAAACCATTTTGACTTCTATGGGTGTTTGGCTGTTATTTTTTCAGCTGGAGTTACCACGGAAGCCATTCAAACTGCTACTGCAAGCCCAGATTCATTGGGAACAGAGGCAAAAGTTCAGGAGGAAGAGCATGATCTAGTGGATGACGACATTACAGCTGGTGAGCCTAACAAAATGTATTTCTTTTTTTTTGTTTTACTTACTGAGTTCAGTGCAAAAGAGATGGAACACTTTCTTTCTGACTTTCCATACTTCTCATGTGAAAATGAAACATATGCTTAACTCTAACTACTGTCTTTTTACTGCATTGCTTCTGAAACAAATATTCTTCAGTGTGTTTTGAGCTTTGTTGTCTGCCTGCAGCTGACATACTTAGCTCTTAGGTTTGATTCTTTATTGTTACTTCTTAAATGATTTACCGTGGTGAAAAGACTGATGCAGAGGTGCTGCCATCATAATCCACTTCACTGAATTGTGTTTTTTTTTGGTGAGTAAATGCTGTTAGTGTGTCATACATGGAGTTCAAGTATGTTTTGGTTCTAAAAGACTAATACAGCTTTTTACCGTTGCTGTATGTTTCTGTAGACTGATGGATGGTTGAGAATTCCGGCCCCTCAAGGCATGTTCTGAAATGACAGGCCATACAAAAACAAACATTTAATTACAACAGTTCTCTTTTGATTCTTTTGTTCATGCTTGTCTGTGCAGCATCGTGGGGAAAATACTTGTATGCTCAGTATCAGTACCTTCAGAATTTGAATGACTGCAGTATGTATTTTGGCATAGCATAGCACAGATTATAGAGCACAAGAGCTGTGCTGTTCTGTCAGCTCAGACTATGTTGTCTGAGCTTTTTATAGATTTTTGTGAAAGTCAGAAGGAAAACTATTCCTATTGACCAGAAGACTGTTAGTATGCCAGATGGAGTTTTGGGTCAAGTCTCTGGCTGAAGGTGACTGAGACAAGCTTCCTGCTGGTTGAGGAGTAGACTGTTTGGAGCACAGAGTATTAACACAGGCTGTTTGGAGAAGGCTTGAAGGAGCTGTGAGGGAGGAAGAGTGCTGGAGATGCTTGTAGGGTCCGGGGGTGTATGTGGGAATTGTCAAAAACAGCAATGGATAGAGGCTGAAAAAATGGAAATAAGGAGAGGGAATTAGTGAAAGGGCTTATAGTACTCTGAAATGCTTTTCACAAGATATCCATTACATTGTGTTTCTTTGAGAAAAGTAGCATCTACTTGGTCCCATGTCTGTCAGCGGCCAACTGGTTCCTCTTCTGGAAGCCTCAGTAACAGCAGTATTACCAACTATAGAATACATCTATAGGCATGAGTTGTATCATTCTCTCATTCCTTTGATGGAATGATGATTCCATCATTCCCTTTGATGCCCTATGTATTTTTCAGGGGAAAGATGGAAAATGGGCCACTTTATTGGAGGCAGTTCCAAATGATGTGCGTTTCCCTGCTCCCTGCCATTCCTGATCAAAGCGATTGAGCTTTAAAAGCTGTGTTCTGAGTAAATACAAAATTTCAATCTACAATTGAATGCAATCAGTTTAGTGTTTGTAGAATACATAAAAAAATTAATTCAAACAGTTTGAAGCTTACCTTGTCATCTTTAAACATGATGCAGCTTCTTTCTATAGTGGTCCTTTTAGAGCTAATACTTATTGATTGACTGCACAAAGTAATACCAGTGTGCAGTGGTCAACAGGATTTTTTTCCAATTCAAATTGGTATTCACCAAATGCTCTCATTCCTTCAAATAATTTTTTTAAAAGGATCACTTCCACATTGGTCCTTTTAGAGATTAAAGCAGTTTAGCTTAGCTTGCTGAAAAGCACTGAAGCCTATTTCTGGGAAACAGCACCACAGTGCCTGTCAGGCATTTAACAACACACAAGCAGGAGTTATATGGGAAACTGAATGTTGTTGTTCAGATGTACTGAAAAGACATGCAAGAACAGGCTTCCAAGCTGTTATCTTTAATGCCTACAAGGCTCTTCTGGATAACTAAACCTAGAGCAAATATCTTGCTTAAATCATTCACATTAGAACAGTAGTGTTTTTTTGTTTTGGTTTGGTTTGTTTTTTTTGCTACTTGGGCAGAGAATCTTCTGATTTCATTGACTGAACTTCTTCAAAATATATTTCGTATTTAATATCTTTTATTGCCTTGTAATTTTAATCTTAGTTGCTAACCTAATTTTAGGCTCTAAGATATCATCTAGCTTTTTTTTTTTTTTTTTTTTTTTTTTTTTAGAAGTGTAAATCTGTTTTTAAATCAGTAAATAAAGGAAATAAGGAAGAATAAACACAGTGCTGTTACGTGTTTGGAAGTGTGACTGTCTGCATTTGAGGTGTGCTTGGAACCTATACAGCAGCATCTGCAGGGATAATAAAACAAACGCACTGCTGAGCACATAACAGAGATAAAGGGTCAGATGTCACCAGTGCTGTGAAAAAGGCACTGTTGTGGCGCCTCAGTACCTCTGCTGACAGATTTATTTACTAGCATAGAAAATGGTGCAACAGTGCAGATAGACTCTTTAGGAATTCAGTGAGTTTCCCATGTTCAAATGAAGACCTTCAAGGAAGTAACTTTTAGGTTGCGGTAGTGTGTGCCTCTGAGCTGTGCAGTGTTGCCTTAGTGCTGGACATTAATAATGTATTGGGACACAGTAAGGCATATATTCTAAATCTTCTATGGATTGCTCTTGCACCTAATCAGCAGTACTTCCCCAGGCCCTGCATGTGGGGCTGGCACAGCTCTCGGGACCTTGCTGGGGCAGGGGGAAACTTGAGGGCCCTTCCCACCCCAACCAGGCTGTGACTTCTGGAATGAGTGGGGGCTTTGGCATTGCAAAATGGGGAATTTTTCCACAGCAGTTTCTTTTTGTAGCAATGACTTTGCTCGGATTGGCATTGACAGTGATGCTTGCAAAGCACAAACCCTTTCCTGGTACTAATTAAATATTAATTTGTTAAACATTTTTCCCCTCTTTCATGAAGTCTGGATATCATGTACCATCACCACAGCTGCAGAGATTACGGAAGTACCGACTGCCTTGGTTTCATAGCTTAAAGGTTTGCAGAAATACAGTGGTGCATTACATTTGTGACTGAGCTGAGCTTCACACAGCAGCAAGCTAAGCAGCGTTCAGTGAACTTTGAGGCTTCTGGTAGCAATGTGAATATAATGCTGGGAGATTCCATTGAGCTGAATACAATATGCACTGCTTCCAGGGAAAGGGGCTTGGGTGGCTAGAGACCATCACAGAATTGCACAGTTTGGGGGGGATAATCTAGCTAAAGTAGGTTCCCTACAGTAGGAAAAAGATTTTGTGCCCTCTAATTGGGTCGATTACATGAACTGGTGGATTTTTTGGGCTTTGTTTCTAGGAACTATTCAAAACAAGCTGTAGGTGGTAGGGAAGCTTGGGGCAAAGGCTTCTGAGACAACTCCTGGAGCTGCTACGGGATGACAATGACAGCACTGATAGTTGCCCTCAGCTGCCTTGTTGTGAAAAGGTGAGATTCCAACAGGAGGCCTGATAATTGACAAAGCTGGGTAAACTCTTGTCAGACCCATTATTCCGGGTTGGTATTCCTCTACATAAAAACTGAATTGAAACGGAATTTATTCCAAAGGATCTGATATTCCAAAAAGCTGGAAGGTAGACGATGGAGACTGCTTTAAATACGGAAATAAGGATTATTATTTAACTATAATTATTATATTATCTAAGAAAGTTTCAGAAAAAAAAATCTAAATTTATGAAAATATGTGTGCCCTGGTGCAATGAGGGTTGTCTTGGGGCCTTCAAGTCTGAAGCAAGCTGCTGTGTTAGACCTATGCATCCTTAGCTCTGGGCTCTGCAAGGGGTCTGGCAGTTGTGCTTCCAAGGGCAGAGCAGCGAGCACTGCTTTTTTTGGGCTCCTTTTTGCAGAAGCACTGTATGTGAAGCTCCATTTCCTCCTACCTGCTGTTGTGATGTGATAGTAGGTCCTAGGGCGGAACAGAGGAGATCAGCATGCTCCTTGTTTAGCCACGTGGCCAAGGGAGCCCCAGCCAAGAATGCTTTGTGCATCTTGTGCAGGTTTTAATTTCCAGTACACCAGCAGAGCTGCAGCAGTGACAGCAGTTCACACACAGAAGGTCATACGGAGAAGAAAAGCTGGGAGTGTTACTGATAATGTTTGCTAACTTGAAAGCTTAATCTTTTGAATAACTTCCTGTAGTACTACGAAACCTATTTTCTCATGTAATGAGTAGTATTTGTTAGGCAATAATTATCCATTAGCTGGTAACATCAGAAGCAAGGAGTATTGTTAGTTTATCTCATATTCTAAAACTAAGAATGACTCTGAAGGCACCAACAGTGTGTTGTCTGTGTGATGTTGAAGGTTCAGCAATTTGCAGTCATGGTTTTTGTATTGTATCTTAGCACAACATTTGCAGAAATGTTGAATTTCCAGTGTTTTCCCGTATTTTGAGTAATAACTATTTTACCCCCAGTTTCTAGATGTTCTGATGTTGGTACAGTCAAACTATTTTAAGTAGTTTTAATTTAGTTACTAGTTGATATATTATTTTTTGCTATTACTCTATTTAGCTTGAAGACTTCCACTGTAACAGAAGAAAAATATTTCATTTGTTTACCAAAAGTAGCATGCGGTCATTTACTAAGCCATATGCTGTGCTTCTGTCTTGCTTTTTTGCTCCCTTCTTACTCTTGTTAATGTGTTGAGTCTCTGGGCTGCTTTAGTGGTTTCTGTGCATCCTCTTGTGCTGTTGGAGCCAGACTTAAAAGCAGAAGCGACAGGTGCCGTTGCCCAGTGCTGCCCTCCCCTCCTCTGGCAGCCTTCCCTGTAAGGTTTGCTGTGAGGTGGAGGTGCACAACAAACGACACCATCTGCCACCCCCAGCAGCCAAGCCAGCAGCCCACTGTTCAGCACAATGTGGGTGCCAAAAGAGCCGATCTCTGGACAAAATTCCTGCTGGGTTTCTTTCAGGCAGCGCAGACCGAACTTGAGCACCTTCACTGTGTCGCATACGTTTGTGTGTCTCTAAAGTCCACCATAGAGAGATAAAAGATGCACTTAATTTGTATTTAATAACCCATTAGAAAACCACCTACCACACTGTGCACACTGAC